GGGTAAGAACTTGTTATAACATTCATCGTTGATTATTATTTTTTCTATAAGTTTATTAAATTCATAGATATTATTGTCTTTCTATACATCACTGTTGATATTTGTATATATGTAATCATATATAATATACAGATATTTGGATCTAATTTCATATAACGTGAAGCCTTAATTCTTCCTCTACATGAGTGTTGCCATGTTGCACTAGATGGCGTTCTAACATTTGAAATGTACAATTGGTACACGAACAATCACATTGAAACAAACATACGTTCATGCCGTTCTTTATCTAATTCCATTGATTTGCAAACTGTTGTAATGTGTATAGTTAAATATAAATTAATAGAAGTTCCAGCTTTTATGAAGGCCGCACAAGAAAACCACGGAGGCTAAACGCGGCCTTAAGGCCACGTGTTCTCCACCTCTGTAAAAGCACATAAACACATGTGTTCATCTTTAAGGTTCTTTAGAATAATTATATTAATACTTATTTTTGTGTTTTTAAAACGCATGCGATTAGACTTTCTCATCAATACACTTTTTAGGAACATACGAAGTGTGCTCGTAATTTGAGCCAAGTTGAAGTGATGAAGGTGACACCTGAACGTACATCCCACTCTCCAAACATCCACACCATATCAACGTGATGACTTTGAACTTTGACAAATTTAACGTGCATTAGACCCTCTGCTCTCGGCTTGATTTGTCACACAGTTCTTCTAACTATTCTCTCTCCCCGACAGATTGATTGATTGTTTATTAATTCCTCCCCGAAGTAAGACGAGGACTATTTCTCTATATCGGGAATAATGATGTGTAGGTGGATCATCGCATTCTAAATGATACCTATTACTTCGTCCTCGAAGATCTGTTGAATATTGCGGTCGAGTTGCATTTTAAAGTCCCCCAGCCTTGCTCAAAATGTTTTCTTATTTTGTTAAAACAGGAAAATTCTATGGCATTCACTTCCACGCTCATCGACAGTCTGCTGGCGTTTGATAGCTTCTGTAGACAGGAAGAAAAATTCCCGTATGAGATAGTGTTCATACATTCACTAAACCACATCTTCCTAGTTTTCCTTCGTTATTGTGGTCTGATCTTTTTTGTGCACACGTCGTGATTGGATATCGTATAAAGAACTTCATCTCCCTAGATAAAGTGTGATGTTAATGCCAACATTTTTCTTCGGGAAGAGATCCATTCAAAGCTCTCTTTTAAAAGGAGAAGAGCTCAGAAAACTGTTTAGTTTTTCATTAGTTAAATAACATTCAAAAGAATACCATCGTGTATTGAAGCAAACGTTACATATTGCAAGACATCTTTCAGTATTTAAACATATCACGAGAGACTATAATACTTCTTGATACGGTCCCACATGATGATATTCCACATGGATACATAATAACCCAAAAATGTCTGGCCCCAACTCAACTCATCTTATGAGCAACACATAGTAGGATAAAAAAAGAAATATATTACAACAAAACAATATCACACTTTTTAAGTCCGCACGCATTCATTGCAATAGGAAATGCACGGTCTTATTATTGCAACAATGACAACAGTCTAGTCGATGACTCCATTGGAGTCTAAGGTCTTCCTTGAGAAGAGTAGTCAACAGGGAGGGTCTTCAGTTGAAGTCTATGTAACAGGAACATCCTCCTGGGAGTAAGAAGGTGTCTACCGTAGGACTTCGGTCAGGCGTCTGTGGATCAGTGCTGAGTAGCTGCACTGCAGTGTATCGCTGCAGGCAGGAAGAGTGCACGCACGGGGGCATCATCTGGCAAGTCCGATTCTCGTACCTAGAATGGAATAAAGAATGCACAACTTAATTCTTTCATGCAATGAATTTTTGACAAAAAAATGCACTGGAGAGAAACAATTACAAATAGTTTTTGTAAACCACATAAAACTATAATTATTGAACAAAGGTTGGTACATATTAATACTATTAAACACTTTTTCGAATAAAGGGGTGTCCAAAGTTTTTTAAAAAATAGGTGGTACATATTTTGTGTACCACCACACTTGAAGCAGCACGATACAGAAACATGATTTTTTCTTCTCTAGGCACAATGGAACTTTGCAGACACATAACATATTCATTCAGTACGAACTTGGATTGCTTTGAACTTGGGATAATAACTAAATATACTTCTTCATCTTACGCTGTTATTCATCCTATATATTAAAAGATTTTCAGTTTTTTCTAATCTAATGTTGTAAGCTTAATTTTAGCTTAATCTTATTTTACCTAATGTGTGTTAGTTTTAATTTTAAATATTCTATTCTATACATTATTTTATTTTACCTAGTTTATATTTAGTTAACATATATAACAAGTGTATTAGTTGCATTTATTTTTTCCTGAACTCGAGCTATAACTCATTCAGGACATTTGTGTAATTTTGTATGTACTATTATTTAATAAATATTATTATATTATCTAAAAAAATGTAACTTACAACAAATCTATCTGGAACAATAAAAATGTCCATTATTGCTAAAAAAGTAAACGGAATGAATTTTGTACTTGTAAAGAAGATGGCCTTCAACAGCGTGGTGGTACCTTTTTGGACTCATAGAAGTCAAGAAGTAATAAATAGATAACATATTACAAAAATATTTTATGAATAAATTTAAAAAAAAATTTATTTTGAAAGTTCTCAAGTAAAAGTAATTTTCTTTAAAAAAGTATATTTACAAAATTAGAGGGAATGCTATTTAAAATTTATTCATATTTTAGAATTTTTTATAATTACAGAATATACCAGGAAAGGGTTGAAATAAATACTTTTGATTCCGACAATTTTTCAAAATAAACCAGCACTTTATTTTTAAGAAAACATTAAAATAACAATAAAATTCCAAATTAATTTTCGAATACGAAAATAATGCCTAATTAATTAATCACAATAATTTGAAATTTGTTACACATGTTTAATTATCATAATATAAAGCATATCTAATTTACAATATACTCTTCTACATTCGAAGTCAGAAATATCTGCATTACAAAAATATTGAAACTTTGTCTGAATTAACTTTGTAAGTCAAGATTTATTACTGAAAATTATATATAAATGGATTAAAATAATTTTTTTTTGCATAAAATAAAAATAGCAAATTTTTCATGGTCCAATTGAAACTCAAATCTTTATTTAGCATTATAAGGGAAGTCTTATTGATATTGTTGATAATAACACATAAGATGCTAAAATGAAAAATAAATAATACAATAAAATTATAATAACAAAAGACAGAAACGCTGAAGTAATAAAGTTTCAATGCTCTCATATATATATATATATATATATATATATATATATATATATATATATATAAAAGTATGTTTTATAAATTTAATTAATTATAGTCAGTTTTTTCATGTTGAAATGCTAAATCAACTTTACCTTAGGTTTATGCCATCATAATACCCCAGTGGGTATAAAAATAATTTTTCAAATATCACACATGTTTAGTATTTTAAAACATTTTTAAACAAAATACCTCTCAATGCAACTTTATTTTATAATTAAATATTACTTGAACAGATTTTCTGTTTTTATGGATTAATAACACCCTTTAGCTGTTTTAAGCTATTTCAATCCGATGATACCATATATCCGACTTAACGAGTTTATAATGAAACAAATTATCCTCGGTAATTTCTCGGAAGTTCTTAGGAGCTTTGTCGGTTAGTTTCAACTGGAATCTTTTCTGATTTTCATTCTCGTTGAAGTAGGTTTGTAAGCTCATGTTTAATGGAGATTTAACTAATATTCAATTAGATATTCAAATCGATTACATCTAATGTCTTGTCGAAATCCTCTTAAAATATTTAATTGTGAGTTTTTTTTTTTATTTCTGCTAATAGTTCACATACAAACTTCCTATACTCTGCTAAACATCTTGTTCAAATTTTTTCAATCTTTCGTAAAATACTTTTTATTCCTCCACTCAAGTTCAAATACATATTTTAAAACTTGTAATGGAGGACACTTGATGTTAAAACAGTTTTTTTAAATATTAATTCATTCACTAAATTAAATTAATGAATAAAAAGAAACAAAAATAATAGTCCAACACCATACATAAAAAATAAAATCGCTCGTTGTGTCCCTGTAGCGCAATGGATAGCGCGTTGGACTTCCAGATTCAAAGGTTGTGGGTTGGAATCCCACCTGGGATGGCCTAATTTCTGAGAAAGTGATTTCTTTTTACTATACTATTTTATTGGAAGAATTAAATTTAATTAATGAATAAATAGTAACAAACAAAAATAATAGTTTAACATCCTATATAGAAAAGAAAATAGAAAATTGCAAGGAAAATAGCTTTCTTTTTTGTCACTTAATATTGTGATTCTGTGTGTCACATATGTATATATATATTTATATTAATTGTAATTATTTAATAAGAAGTAACTAAAATAAAATTTTTCTTTGCTGACCTAAGTAGGAATTGACTTAAAGTTTTTTTTTATATTACTTGTTAATTTTCCAATCTGTGCCAGACTCTATTATATACATATATATTTTTTGCAATGAGTCAACTTTCGATCTAAACATTGTTGAACTGCTTCCATTATTTACTGATTGCAACACCCATCACTGGTGAATATTTGAAAGCTAAAATACTCAAAATAAAATAGATTTCCAAGGAAACAGTACAATGAAAATACTTGAAAGAGATTAAGTCTTTTGTCCCTCCAAAACAGCGTATCAGCCCGTGTGTTATTCACTTTGTATTACTTTAATCAAAGTAGAAAGCGGCCCTTTGCACGCACATACAATTAACTTTTCACTAGGGTTTGACATGTATCCCATTCGGAAGGGAACGCATCGTTGGAGAGGTGATGAAGATAAGATCGCTTGTTCGAGCCTGACCTGTTTAGTGATAGTTAGGGACTTTTGTTAGTTAATGGTGGTATTGGGAGACCTTCGCGAATCGAGGACATTCGTGACCACAGGATTTGGAAACACATGGTAATTATGGGATGAGAGTGTAATTCACTCTGCTGGAGAGAATGGAAGTTCACGCCGTCGCTTGTCCCTTTCTGTAAGCTGAGACGAATTTATTAACGGTGTTGTGCCATTTGTCATTTGCGGAAGGGTTTGGGAAGAGGTTGTTGAAGGGTGTTCTTTGTCTTAAATATCCGACTATGTTCGGAACCGTGATTTTGCAAAAGCGTATAAATGGATAATATTTATGATATTTAGTATCACTTAGATTAGAAAACGTATATAAAATTGTTTTAAGAATATTTTAATAATAAAAAAAATTATTTAAGTACAATATTTTGATAAAAAATGAACATAGAATGACCCATTTTCAAAACATTCTCCTTTTATGAAAAATGCTTCTATTATAATATTATTTTGCCTGTATACATCTTGGACCTCTGTACAGAGGCTAATATAGAACTTTTGAAATATATGTCTTAGAAGTGGGTTTATCCATATTTTACGACAACAGAGGGTAGAAATTTTAAGAAAAAAACGCCAATAATTATTTCATTTGGTAATAACTCTGAAAATAATGGGAATTTTTGAAAAATCTTAGTTCAGACTCTGGAGAAGTCTTTACTTAAAAAAAAAGCAAAATATTATTATTATCGAAGCATTTTTTATGCAAGGAGAACGTTTTGTAAAAAGGTTATTCTAAGTTAATTTTTTGCCAAAATAGTGTATTTAAATAATTTTTTTTGTCATAATGTCCTTAAAACAATTTTATACATGCATTCTAATCTAAGTGACACCAAATCTCATGAAAACTATCGATTTATGCGCTTTTTTTAAAATCACGGTTCCGAAAGTAGTCGGATACCTTAAGGTCTGAAGGACAAATATTTTTCATTTGGTACAAATAACTTCGCAAACATCAAAGGATTCGTATGTTGACATTTACTTATACGCATATCAAAAATTAATATTTTTATGATATTATCAGTTTATAAATATGTTACCATTAAAGTATATAATTCAGTTATTTCATAGAATAACAAGGTATTTCATAAAAAATACACGTTAGTTAAAGTATATAATAGATAAAAAATTTCCTACTTTCCTAGTTATTCTATGAAATAACTAGTTATTTTATAAAATAATTAATAATAGGCCGTTAATGTGAAAAATAAACAACTACAAAGTTATTTTATATAAAAATTGATATAAATAGCTAAACATCTTGAAAAATACATTTTATCCCTATTTTGGATGATTAATTGACAAATAATATGGAAAAGCAAATGATATAACTTATTATTGTTCATATTGCTGACATTAGTTAAACAGAAAGGGGGAAAACAGAATATGTTTTGCATCTGTGACCAGCACAATTAATTTTTGTACTCCTTAAACTTCAACGATATCATAATGCTGGAGTAATCAGAAGCCATGTGGTACTTTTTTCTTTGCTGTTTCAGCATTTCTTACTTCTGCTATCAAAGTTAATAATTTTTCTCGAGTAAGAGTAGCATTGTTTTCCTTTGTCCCACACTCATTGAATAAAAATTCAAGTTTCTTGCATTAAATCTTTCTTAATTAGAAGTTAGTCCTCCAATCTTGCAGAAGTCTGCTTAAAAACAGGTTTCAGAAATATTTATTCATTTTCTAAAATGTAAAGCACTAACATATATACACCACTTAAATTCTACATTTAAAAGCAACGGAATGAAGCATACGCACACGCGCGCCATTGCAAAACAGCTATAAGCGGCTCAAATTGGGAGGAATTTAATGATCTAGTCTAGGATGGCACATCTTTCAATTTCCCAACGTGACCTTTCAAAGTATGTAAAAGACGAAAACATTAACAAAAAATGTGAGACCTTCGCGGACCCCCTGGGAAAGTGCTGGAGACCTCCAAGGGTCCACGGACCGCAGTTCAAGAACCACTGTTACAATGTATTATTCGAAATAAACTAACATTCCAACGAACATTGATTTTTTTGCTGCCCAACTAAAGTTAAACCTTTCTTGTTTGAGTCAAGTTAGTCTTTGAATTTGACACCATTGTGTGTGTTTTAGACCTTATATTAAGAATGTAATTGTATTCAAGCCAAGCTCATTTGTCATTGAAATCAAAGTCTTAACCATTTATCTCAGTTTGGCTTGAATTAACGTCACTTTTAGGGTAATAAAAGGACTAATGGCCCTATTCCTTGTAATTTTGTGCCACACCACATCATGCTAGAACTTTCGTGTAGTTTTCTTTCCGATTAGAGAAATTAGACTTTGAAGGATCAAAGGCCATAAAGGACCATTAGTGAATATACTCACTTGCAGTGTTCTAAGCGCACGGACTGCGGGAATTGTTCTGTGTTGAGAACCACCTTCCACCTTCCAGCCCAGTTGCGGGCCCACCCTATGCGCATAGTGAACACATCTGTCTCGCAGGCCCAGGTGCCTCTCTCGGAGGGGAAGTTGTACCGGTAACTGACGTTGCCACCCACAGCTACTTCTACGGGTAGGGGTTGCATCTCCTGGTACATGCGATAGATCTCTCCCTGATAGCGCTGGACGACACCCCGGACCATGTCCCTGGGAGGAAAAATATAAAGCGAAGATGAACATGTGGCACATACCGTTTATCAATGAAAATTAATTGAACTAAATTTCATATGCATTAAGATAGGGGTCTTCAACCCTTAACGCTCGTGGGCCATATCAATAAATACACAATGATCTGTGGGCCACATTAATAAATTTCAGAATGATTCGTGGGCCACACGATTGCTAAAGAAACGTATTCAGAAAATTTTAATATGAAAGGGAGATTTATTTTATACAAAACTACGACTGATACTAACGGAAGAGAAAATGTTACAAATTTGTACATATATATCGGTTTCAAAAACATTAAACGGAAGTCGAATTAAAATACTTTGCGTGGTAAAGATAAAAGTCCAACTTTTCTTTTGGAAAACTTCTGATATTTTATGTATAGTCAGATTTCTTATATTTTAAATTATTTAAAATACAATGACATTTTTGAAACATTCATCATTTTTAGAAAATTTTATCTCAAATGGATACAAGAATATCAATCAAATGTTTTAATCATCAAGAATAACAGAAAAAAGGACGTTTCTTACGACAAAAAGAAAAACAAGGCAATTTTTCTAGAAATTACCTGATTCAAATGAAGGGCCACTAAAATGCCTTCAACGGGGCATTCATGGCACGCGGGCCACGGGTTTTACGATCCCTACATTAAAGGGCATGGTATCTTATATACTACTTTTTCACAATTCTCTCTCTCTCTCTCCTACTATTAGATCACAATCTCTATTTATTTATTTATCTTGGTGGAATTTTCAATCGTTAATAAAATACATTCTAAAGCGCTTAATTGAGCTGAAATTTTATACACATGATTATTTTGGATGACAATACAATAATTTAATTATAATTAATAATAATTAATTGATTAAAACTAATTATTCAAAGAATTACAAATACACACACAGCCACGTTGGCATCATTTTTGGTGACTTGTGTCAAAACTTGAAAAGGTTTTTTTCTCACGTTTTAAAGCATTCAATTGAACTGAAATTTTATATACACGATTTTTTTGGAGGACAATACGATACCTTAATGATAATTAATAAAAATTAATTACCACTTAATATTGTGATTCTGTCATATGTATATATATATATTTATATTAATTGTAACTATTTAATAAAAAAGTAGCTAAAAAATAAAACTTTTCTTTGTTGATCTAAGTAGGAATTAACTTAAATTTTTTTTTATTACTTGTTTTACATATAATTTTATGAAAATGATTATGTGTACCCCATCTGAACACACATGAAATATACATTACAGAAGAGAAGCACCACTTTTAAACAAACAATCATTTTAAGTTTTTTAAAAAATATATCAATATTTCAAAATTCTTTACTACTTCTACAAATTTTAATATTTTTGAACAATTTTTTTCTAATATTCTTAGAAGTGCTCTTCCCAATCCTGTGCATGGGATTGGTATTACGATTAATACTTTTATAAGTCGGATATTATAAAAAACAGTAAAAAAATCCAATTGTATTTAACTTATTGTTGTTTTTTTAACAAATAACTGTGTTCTTACTAATCCTTATTCCATGCGCAGAATCATCGAACAAACACAAAATAAGCAGAAAAAGTTTGAAAATTTCGTATTGAATATATATATATAAACCCT